GGTGTTTGTGCGATGTGTTGAAGTTAATGGCTTCTGCTGTTTCTATTTCTTCTTCTGTGTTTTGTGACAACCACTTTTGTGAAAGCTGTCGTAATTTTCTTAGCTTCAAAGCATCATTTGCAGTAAAACTTGTAAAACATGAAAGTCTACAAAAGCAAGTTCCATCATTGGGGAAAAAAAATCATAGCAAATTTTACTGTGAAGCTCGGATTCCTCTCAAGGAGAATATAAGATTTTTAAAGGAAGAATAGTTATATTGTTTTATTGGTAAAGTGGTAAGTAGAAGAGAAACTGTAGATTTGGCTTCTCATCTAGTTGTGAGATGAGAGGTTTTTCTGTAGACCAGGTTTTCTCCAAAACTTTTGAGTCCAAATAAGCAATTCCAGGCCAAAAGCTCATTTTGAAAAAATGTTAGGTAACTGCAAAACCTTTTAGGTTAGGAAGAAACTTCAACTACATTAGAATTTCTTAATTTTTAACTAAAAATATTATTAAATTGAAAGTAGATGCACAATTTTACAAGAAATATCATCAGATGACAGCACTTTTTAGTTATTCTTTGCCTTCTTTTAGTCATACTTAGCATGGATAATAGTAATTTAAAAATTATTTTAGTCTCTAAAATGACATCTATAGCTTTTATGAGCTATAAAAACTGAAGATGCTTGCATCATACAGGTGAGCAAAATAAAGCATAAACAGGTTATGCATATATTGCAAACAATAATGGAATGCAGAAGCATGTAAGTGCTTCCTTTAATTCCATAATGAGAGTTGTTGTCTTACATCAAGGTGATTAATTATTGAAGAGAATATAGAAAACAAAGTCTTCAAGACTCACAAGCCTGTTCATGTTGATGTTTAATAGTCCATGGCTACTCCCTTTTCCTTTTTAAATTCTTAGCTAGGACAAAATGAGGGAGTGGTCACTTCTGTCATGGAGGTGTTTGCAGGTGGGGAGAAAATCTGCCATTTCATAAGCTGTGAGCTCCAGAGGCATGTTCCTTATCTTTACTCCCCAACTTTTCCCCCTATTACAGCTGTAGTCTTCATTTAAGCTCTCTTTCTCTTCATGGGCTTAATTTCTATTTCCTACGGTAACATATGCTCTGAATAATTTCCATCTTGTATATAAATGTACCACAGTTATATTATTTAAGTTGAATATTATGATTTAATACATATTTGTATAGATTTTCTCTAGTGGCATTTTGTTGGACGAGATATAATGTCCAGACAGCTGTTTGGCAAGGGGGACCACATATATTTCAACCTCAGTGTCTCAGTTCTTCATCTCTGTTTTTCTCTGGAGATTCTGTGTCCTGCCCAGAAAGGATGACAAGCATAAATTTAATTAATGCCCAGCAGATTACAGTAATTCTCTAGCTAGGTTGCACTTGAGAACTGGTAGTTCTTCTAAGTTATTGGTGCTGTCAGTATGTACACTCATTATACGTCTATCTCTTTTTAATATGTTTTCCCAAAATGTGCCAGGTTCATGGCTAGAAGTGTCTTTTTGTATGCCCTCTATCTTCTAGTTTGTCATAGTTATTTGGTTTTGATTATAAAGAATGACCATAATTACCTTTCGAAAGGTTGCAATCAGTATTTTCTTTTATACTGGAGATTTTTGATTGTTTGTTTAATAACTATTTTCCATTTTTACTTTTTTGATAGCAAAATTGAATCAGGTGGAATGGTGGCTGGATGGGAAGAAATTGGTTTTCCCACAGGGAGTGTTGGATCAGCTTTAGGTCAATGGAGTGGTTCTCAGAAGGCCACGGGACGTGTATGTCAGGCAAGCTTGGGCAGGAACGTGACAAACCTGAAGTGAGAAGCAGGGAGCAGTAGCCAGCTAGATCTGAGGCACCAAAGGAACTCCTAAAGTTTACTGCCACTCAGAAAGTCATTGACCTAATAGAAGCACAGGTGGGAGCTGTCTTCAAGGAGGCAGTGCAGACTCTATTCATTGAATACTGTTCTGGAGTCACCTTTTGACAAGTCTGCTTTTCCCAAAATTAGATCCTGTCATTCATTTATCCAAAGAGTAACAAAGATCTTTGTGACTGAGAGTTGTTACTCCAGCGTGGAAGCTTGTTCTTGAACTTTTTCATTTGGAATTTGTCGTCTTGAACCTCAGTTCTCTCAGGCTGGCATAGCTGTGGAGAGGTTGTGGCTGTGGTAGTCTGGTTCAACAGCTTCAGAAATGAAGGGAACAAGCCTTTCAGTTTAAGGTTCTTAGCTTCTAGCCATTCAACTTTATAAAGAAAGCATGTGGGATATTTCACCTGTCGAAGGTAGTTCCCCACTTGTACCTAGATTCTGTCTTCACCTTTGGATTGGATGCTACATTTGTAATAGTAAAAGCCTCATTCTTTGTCATAGTTGAACCATGACCATCAACCCCCACAGCTGCTTGCTCACTCTAGCTCAGTGGTGGTGGGAAGAGAATCAGAAAAGTAAAACAGAGAAGACTCATGAGTTGAGATAAAGACAGTTTAATATGCAAAGCAAAAGCTATGCACGTGAAGCAAAGCAAAACAGGGAATTCATTCACTGATTCCTGTGGGCAGGCAGGTGTTCAGCTATCTCCAAGAGAGCAGGGTAACAGTGACTTAGAAAGACAAACACCCATCCCTCTGAACATTGCCTTCTTACCTCAGCTTTATTGCTGAGCACAGTGCTCTATGGTGTAGAATGTCTCTGTTGATCAGTTGGGGTCTGCTCTCCCACTTGTGTCCCTTTCCAACTTCTTCTGAACCCTCAGTCTCCTCACTAGTAGGGTGGGATGAGAAGCAGAAAAGGCCTTGGCTCTGGGTCAGCACTGCTTAGCAGTAGCTAAAATATCCCTGTATTACTAAGACTGTTTGCAGCACAATTCCAGAACTGAGTCCATACCAGCTAATATGAAGAATATTAATCCAGCCAAAACCAGCACATCCATCCTCCATTATTTTGTGTCTTCAGAGCCAGAAAGTTTGCACTCTGTGTGTTTGTCCCTTATCCAAGCTGCAGAATGCAAAGTCCTAACATGAACATTAGCTGTAACTTTGATTTTTTTGGTTGTACTGCAAGATATTTAAGAACTGTGTTCTAAGAGTTTATCTGGCTGGATGGGTAGGTGTGGGCAAACATGAAGGCAGCTCAAGCAACATTAGGGAGAAGTTTTTATCCATTTTATCTTTCTGGGGCTTCTTTCACACTTCTGTTAAGCGTGCCACTGTTCCTGAAGCCTGAAGTCAAGCTGTTGGTCTGTTCTTGTTCATGCAGTTGATTAAAGCCACACCTTCTTGGGTTTTCTTTGTGTTGCTTTATGAGTACCTTTAGTGCTAATTATGATATATGGATGACATACTTGGGATTGTGGATAATGAAAAGATGCTTCCCTTTTTTTGTTACTTGTAGGTACTTGCCTTAGGAAACAAAGATACAATTATATTATGCAACCGTAAAACTCTTTAGCTTGCACCATGTGTAAATATTTGGCAGACAAAACTTTATGAAGAAAATGGTACTTTGAGGATTACTCTCCTTGAAGTCATGCCTAATAAGAACGTTACTCACATACTCAGTGATCCATTGTCTATCTAGTGTCAAGTTGCCTCATCTCTACCAAGGAGCAGAAAACGATGACTTTTAACTGTGTTGCTTTTTATCCAGTTTCACAAATGAGTTTGCTGTTTCAGAGTTCTATGTAAATGAAAAGCATTAATTTCACCAGTGTGTAATTCACTGGTATGTGTATTTATATATGTCTACAGTTCAGTATTTATTTGGAAACCTGTCTGTCTGTGTGCCCCATAGAATGACATGTTACAATGTATCTAATAAGTGTTACTCACTTACCACTTGTCCACATTATGCTTGGTCTGTTGCCTTTCAAAGAGTTTTGGAAATATGTAAGAAGAAGATTTAAATTTTTCCTTATTAATGTCCTGTAAGTGCTTTTCAAGAAATTTGTTTTTCAAGTATTTATTTAGAAGGCATCTCTTTGTTTTTACTTGTGAAAATGATACGTCTGAGAGACAGGGACAAGAGGGTATGCAGAAGTAGGTCCTGGCCAGTCACTTAGAAACCTTTCATTTGCAATTGAACTATAGAGTGGAATGGCTGTTTAGGCCAAATTGAAGCTTTGTGAAATCAAGATTGATACCTGAGGCATTAGAACTTCAGGCTGAAATATTCAGAGACAAAGTTATAAGCACTTTTGGTTTCATTCAGTTTTGTCTGTACTATTAAGATGCCTTCTTGGCTGATAGATATGAAAAATATTAATAGTTTATACTTTGCTATTGCATGAGCACGCTTAAATTTTTAATTAAGATACAAGATACGCAGTCTGTTGTAGTGTGACAAGTGTGTAAAAATTCTCAGGTTTGGGAGAGAAAGCTGTGTATTTATTAATTGTAAAACAAACTCTTTTAAGACTCTTTTCTGTGTCTTAAAAGACAAAGTCTCTTATTGGCTTCAGATAGCTGGGACCTCAGAATGACATTGCCTTGATCTTGGCAATGAAAGAATGTTTGAGCTCCCAAGCACTAGGAAAATACACTTCTTAAAGTCGTCTATAACAAAGAAAAACTTCTAAAATATTGGTGATCACTTAGTGCAACCCCAGGACAGCCCTGGTTGCCAGCTTCATTCTGATCAAAGAGCATTTATTTACTTCAGAATTAAATAGTCCAGGTTGGAAGAAAGCCTGGATGAAGCATGAAGCGTGCATGTAATCTGCAGGTAATAAGACACATAATAAAAGATGCTGACAAATCAAACTTGTATATGTGGTGTTTATGTGTCCACTAAAAACAATAATTATAAAAGATGGTACTTTTTCAACAGGAGGGAGTGCTTCCAAAGAGTTTTTTACTGTTGAATAGAAACTGTGGTGGTAGTTTTACCTCCGTTTTGTTGCATTTTCTTTCTTAGCCCTGAAACTGTTTGCTATTGGCAGAATAGGTGCAATTAATTGTGTTTTTAATTATGGGCTGGTTTATTTTCAGATCTCAATAGAGAATGACTACCTGGGTCCCAGAAGAATTGAGAGTCTGCAAAAAGAAGATGCTGATTGGCAGAAAAAAGCTCACATGGCTGTGCTTTCTATTCAAGATCTTACAGTTAAATATTTTGAAATAACAGCTAAAACACAAAAAGGTAGTTATTTCTTGTCATTACATAAAAAATTAAGTTGTTTAGTGTTTACTGTGTTCTGTGTTGTACCATGAATTATTTTTTTATTCAATTCTTCATGAGGAAAATGCAGTTGTCATTGCTATTTGTTTTTTCTTCTGTGTCTATTTGGATCTTTCACTTGTAAACCTTTTCAGAACATCATCAGTAGTGAACAGAATAGAAATTTTAGGTAGAAGTTTTACAGCCACTTTCTTAATGTAATTGTATTAGTGGTACTCTGTATTTGCAAAGGATTTAAGAGCACAGAGTCCCTGGTGGATTCTGCTTTCTGTACTGGATATGGCAGACCCCCACAGTAAATGTTAATTGTCTTTCAGTTGATTTCCTTTTCTAGTCTTCCTTGCCTTTCAGTAATTTTTTTTCATAACTCTAAACATGAAGCAACAGCTCAGTTTAACTACTCAATGAAAGCTGCTCTGTTGTTCAGAAGTCTTAACGGATATAACCTTGGCTTTTCTGTGTTTGAAGAATGTGTTGGTTTTAGTAAAAAGTGGTACAGTAAAGCGAGGTCAGATGACTTGGTACGTATACCTGTGCTCTCATCCTTGTACCATTTTAACTTAAATAACCAGTTTAGTAGGGCAAACAGACCTTTTTCTAGTTCACTGACAAAGTTTGTCCTGGTGTCCTCCACTGCCTAACTGCAGGTCCCTGTTTCTTTCTTTGCCTTGGTGGTAGTGATTGTGCAAGATCCACAGGAGAAATCCTTTTTTGACTGGTAGGTCTCTTGTCGTCTCTGTACATGACTGCTACATCTGACTCAAGAGATGCAGGCACTGCAAATTTATGCTGTTCAGTGACCACCCAAGTTAAAGATAATGTGAAATTTCACCTTACTCTGACTGGATGACTTAATAGGTTAAAGCATGTTGAAATAAATTTAATTAAAGAAAATTTTAAATGTACTAATCAGCTTCACTCCTTTTCTAGTATGACAAAGGCAGCCAATAAGATACACTACTAGATGATAATGCGTATTTATAGATATTTACTTGTTGCTTTTGTTCACATGATTTTTCTATGTACAGCAGTCGGGATTTTGGGGAAAACCAATGGAAAGTGACATGCCTGAAGGATGATTACAGTGTAGATCTTTAAAATACAGGTTATTTACCTGGTTTTTGTGTTCAGGGTTATTCTTGATGTCCTGCTGATCACAGAGTAGTCTTACATACCCAAATATTAACAGAGGAAAAACACATGAGAACTTAAAGGTACTTCTTATTACTTAAGAACAGCATGTAATAGCATATGGTGACTTAATGCCACGCCTTTGATTCCATTACTTTTTTGGTTTTGCTTTGCAAAGCTAAATACAGTGTCACATGACCTGTATATTGACAGTGGTGAAAATTTTGTATGTGTCCACCTAGATGTTATCTGGGGCCCAAGACATCTGAATCATGCAAGGGACTTTTGCATTTTGAGTTAAAAGATAGATGTTGTTTTAATTTCATGCAGTGTTCTTACAGAATTGTAGTTGAAGTTAAGCTGAAATCTGTTTCAAATAGCATTTTTTTCACTCTTCAGATTTACTTTAATTTATGACTGTACTATAAGTGTTAAGGCAAGCTGGAGGCTTCAGTAGCTGATAATTGGTGGTTACAGATGTGGGGGAAATTTGGGATCCAGTTCAAGACCAAGTATTTGTATTAACAAGATTTTTATTAAGTACAAATGTGTGCATTTTCTTTGCATCAGGATCACTAGTGGTTTGAAGAGTAGACTAGTAAGATGCCTGCCTCTTCTTTTCCTTTCTGCAGCTGTGTATGATCGAATGCGAGCAGACCAGAAAAAATTTGGTAAGGCAGCATGGGCAGCAGCAGTGGAACGTATGGAAAAGCTTCAGTATGCAGTTTCTAAGGAGACTTTGCAGTTGATGCGTGCTAAAGAAATCTGTTTGGAGCAGAAGAAACATGCACTCAAAGAGGAGGTAAGTTTTCATGCCAGTAAGTAGAAAATTAAAGCGCATAGAAAGAAGTGATATTCGACAAATGATGTTGCAATGTAGGTGTTGTGGGTTTTGTACGTATGTCTTCATACGTACACCTTTTCCTGGTTAGTCAACCAGAAAAACAGTTTTTGAAAGACAGAAAGACAGTTTTTGCTGTTAGTGTTTACAGCCAACCACTGGGATGAGTAAAATGAAGAGAAAGGATAGGACAGAAATTGGCTGCTATGTAATCTCTGCAGTTTAGCTCTGAGGCACAATTACCTTTTCAGTATAGCTCTGACATTCCAGATGGAAGGTGTCTGACCATTAGTAAGTATATGGGTAGCTGGGTGGTTGTGTTGCACTCTTTCTCTGCTTACCATAATTACCAGGCAATCTTCCAGAGGGGGCTGTGCTAGCTACCTTTTTCTTGAGGAAAGACTTCATACATGACACTGTGCATAAATGCCTTAGCAGGAAAAAAATCCACAATTTATTGGATTTTATGACATCTCAAAAGTAACAATGTTTCAGATTCTCTTCTAAACTTTATCATCATATGGATGTTTGATGCAAAGAACTTCCTGTCATACTAATGTTAATGTGTGTTCTAGCAATTACATGATTGTTTTAGGAGAACTTTTCAAACGTTTCAGCAAAATTTGACTAAACTGATGGTGCTGTTATGAAAAGGTTATCTAAAGAGCTCACAACTTCAGCACTGCAAAGGCTGGTAGGTTTGTAAGGCTGATAGACTATGTGTCTATTTTAGGAGCCTCTGTAGAAGACAGCTTGATCTGCAGGGAAGAGAGAGTACATGCAAGACCCAGAGCACTAAAATAGGTTTACTGCATTTCAGTGTTCTTTAGATTTGGAAATCCAAGAGTTGTCTGAAAACCTGAGTTTATCAGGCTATTGTCATCCTCAGTCGGGAGTTGATGAGACAATCCAGCACTACTAATTGGAAATATATTTAATATTTTCACTTAGAGTAACCGTGCATCTTCTTTTTGTGGCACATCTTATTTTTTTCCCTGTGGAGACGTGTGAATTTTTGTTGAATGAGATCTCAGTCTGGTAAATGAGTAAGTGTTTGGTCTGATATGCTAAAGTATTAGGGGCTGCACAGGAAAAGGAAGGATTCCCTGTAGTATACATAGGGATGAAAGTGAGCTGTGAGTTTGAGGCTTTTGGGGACAGAGAAATAAGTAACATCTAATAGCCGTGGTACTTTGGGATGGTGTATTACAAGGTATAGAGAGTTCTGGGTCTGAGTACAGTGATAGGGAGATAGCACCAGCCAGCTTCTGCTCTGATACACATCGTGTGTTCTGAGAATGTAAACAGCTTAAGTATAAAGAGTTGAATGTGAGAAAAGTGACTGGGAATCCCATCTTTGCGAAGAATGGAATGGTGGCAGTCTTATAAAGATAATGTTTGTAGAACTGAAATACCACCTGACAAACCATTTAGCTACTATATTCTAGAAGATAAAAACAGGATATTTGTTTGAAGATACTAAAATGCTCAATAAATTAATAAATTTGGATTTTAGCTGAGAAAAATGACAATTCACAGCAAAGACATGATATGACTTCACTTGTGGAAAGTGTTTGTGTTCAGCAGGTTGTCTTTAGATTTTTGAACATTTAGTCTTGGAAAAGAAATTTTTTGCAAGGTCATATTGTGGTAGGAGAAGGGAAATAGCTTTAAACTGAATGCGTTTAAATTACATATTTGGAAGAAATTATTTGAACTTTGAGGGAGCAACACTGGAACAGGATGCCCAGAGATTTCGTAGATCAACATCCTGAGAAGTGTTCAAGGCCAGATTGGATGGAGCTTTGAGCAACCTGGTCTAGTGAAAGGTGTCCGTGCCTGTGGTGGTGGGCTTGGAACTTGATGAGATTTCAAGTCCCTTCCAACCCAAGCTGCTCTATGATTCAGTGAATGCAACCACTCTCTGACTGGTATGAATGCAACAACAAAGACTGTAGAGATTAAATTATTTGCTTTCATTAGTGCAGAAAGGTGTGCTTGGATCTCCCCAGTTTAAGTTTTTTGTTCCACCACTGTGGTGTTTCAACCCCAGCCAGCAACCAAGAGCCATGTGGCTACTCACTTGCTCCCTTACAAGTGGGATCAGAAAGGGTTAAAAGCTAGAAAACTCATGGGTTGAGATAAAGGCAGTTTAATAGGGAAAGCCAAAGCCAAACACATGAGCAAAGCAAAATGAGGAATTAATTCATGTCTTCCCATGGGCAGGCAGGTGTTCAACCATCTCCTGGAGTTCAGACCCCCATCACAGGTAACTGTGACTTGGGAATACAAATCTCCACTAACTCCAAATGTTCCTCCCTTCTTCTTTCTTTCTCCCACTTTATATACTGGGCATGATGTCACATGTTCTGGAATGTCCTGTTTGGTCAGCTGGGGTCGCCTGTTCTGGTTGTGTCTGTTCCCAACCTCCCATGCACTTCCATCTTTCCTAGAGTGACCATACAAAAAGCATATAAGGCCTTGGCTCTGTGCAAGCCCTGCCCAGCAATAACGAAAGCATCTCTGTATTACCAATCCTGTGTTCAGCACAAACCCAAAACACAGCCCCGTACCAGACACTGAGAAGAAAATTAGCTCCAGTCCAGCCAAAACCAGCACAACTGCAGAATGTTTCCCGTACTGTTCTAATATTAAATTTCTTTGTGTTTCTTTCACTATGTTGATCAGCCTGAGAGCTACCAAGGATACAGCAAATTAGTGGTACAGATTAGGTAAAAACTCATAAGAATTGCTCTCAAGAAGAGAAATTTTTAACAGAATATACTGAAATATGTACAAAAGTGATTATACTGTTTTGAATTATCACACTTTATTAGTATGTTACATGAAGTTTTAACATAAATTGTTGAAATTCAAGGTCTTTGTTTTACTTTTTCATGGGGAGCTATTATATAGCTAGGATATCTACCCATGAACCATGCAGCAGTACTAGTTTCCCATTTCTTGCACCTGAAAGCTGAATAACGTGGCGGGGTACCCCTAAAACAGAACAGGTAACTAACAGCATCTGAAGTGTATGCTCTTTTTAGGGCAAAGGTACAGTTGTCAGTTGCTAAGGTCCTTATCACCCAGACACCAGTGCAACTGACTGAAGTACTCAGCTGCTGTAACTTGGTGAGCTGATACTTTTGAAGATGGTCTGTGGGTGTCTTTGTCTTTATTCAGTTTTTATTACATTGTGTATTTAAATTTTGGAACATCTGTTTGTAAGAAAAAAATTGTGAAGGTTTGAGTAATTTTCACAGTTCATGGAAAAAGAGAAGTTCTTAGGTGTGGTCACTTTTGACACTATCTTAATTTAAAAAGAAAACCTTTCCCACACCGACTTTCCTTGCCCCCAAACCCACCAAATTGTGCTGCCTTTTTACAGTGGGGAAATCCTTGAAAAATGCCAAATTCCTTGAAGAATGCTAATATCCTGCCTGAACAATAAACATTATCCGTCTTATGTGGAAGAACTGGAGAGTTCAAGAGAATCAGTCCTTTTATCTTGAAAAGTAGCCTGTAGTTCACTCCAATTGTGCCATTTACTGTTCTGGTCAAATTAGTAACTTAATATGGATGCAAAGTAATAAAATGGCATAACAAGACATTTTTGTGTAGCACTGGATTCTAGCATATACATGACACATTAATGATTGTAAGGTTTCTGGTGTTCACTTTAGGACTTACTGGAGTTTTCAGACTAATAGTTGATATACAAAAAATGCATACAGAAGTACAAAATGTAGCGGAAGAAACTTAAAATAGTTAAATTGCAAGAATTGATTAGCTGATCTTCTGTCTAACAGTCATATGGAAATACGTATAGTACACGGAACTATTTGCGTTTAATTGAGCTGTGAAATCCCTGTCAATAGATAATGGTGCAGATGCTAAAAGCTTACATTAAAAAAAAAAAAAAAGGCATGGGAAGAAAGTATTAATTACGTCCTGTAAGTCTGTTTCATGCAAGAGGCAGCAGTATGGTTTAAGTTGTGCTACAGGCTGTGCTAGAGGCTGGTGAATCCTTTTGGGAAAATATCACTGCACTGCCTGTTTTGTTTCATTGTCCTGGATTTTTGCAACATTTTCCCAAAACAGGGTATTGACTCAAATGGATCATTGGTTTAATTCAGTGCACATACCTTTCTAGTTTACTATAGTCATATTTAAATACTCAAGGAACCCATTTGTAGTTGTTTGTTACAGACTCAGTTTTACAACTTGAAGATAACACCGTAATGTACAGAATATGCTAGCAAATATTTTTTTAAATGTATCACTAAATAGGTCGGGTATTTTTGCTTGGTAGACATCTTCTTTTAATAACTGACTGTCTATAATATGAAACTGGACATTTCTTCTGAATAATGAGGTAGACAGATCACAAATCTCCATTAACGTTTACCATTATTTTCATCCAATATTGAGAGAAACTGTCAGATATACATATTTTGAGCAGGTAAAGATTTTGGATGTGGCCCGAACTCTTCTGCATGCAGGTTGTAGAGATGCATGAATTCCCTCCAGCCTCAGCACATAAGATTCCTATACATGCTGGTATTTCTTAAATATGATCTAAATGGCTGACTGTGATGAGCAGATAAATCTTGTTTGACTGATTGAAGGAGAATTGTTGCAGTTCACTTTGGTTGTGTGATACTTTTCTGTTCAAACATATAATACAAATCAGTACTGAGATACATGTAAGTATTTTAATCTGTGTATCTATTCTCCTATGAAGGACTCCAGAAAGAACAGCTAAATTGTCATTACAAGATGACCAGTGCATGTATTTATCCCTGTTTGCAGATCCTTTCACATTTTTTCCTCAGTTCTGCTTTTACAGGCTTTAACTGTAGCTTTCTAGATGCCTACTTTTAGACTTGGGATTGAAGATAGGAGAATTCTAATTTAATTATGTATCTTCAGAGAATCAAGTGGTAGAGTTAAAAGAGTGTGAGGGATGTTTCACACTGTGCACTGTATCACTTGACACTTGACAGTTGCAAAGTGTAATTCAATGCCATGGATTTATTTCATTGCCATGTAGAAAAAAAGTCAGTTATTAAAGGCACCTTAAAGTCTGTGTCTGATCAGAACATATCTTAGGGACTAGATATGTTCAATTTTAACGTCTTGCATTTATTGTACCAGACAGTATCTAGCTGTAATCATAAAATCTGTGGTTTTGTTCTCGTAATTATCCTGGAGTTGTATGGTTTTTGTTTGTTTGTTGTTTTCTCTTTTTATTTAGATGCAGAGTCTGAAAGGGGGTACAGAAGCATTAGCCCATTTGGACCACTTAGAAGCTGATTACTATGATCTACAGCTTCAGTTATATGAAGTGCAGTTCGAGATTTTGAAATGTGAAGAGTTGCTACTGACAGCACAGCTTGAAAGTATCAGAAGATTGATGTCAGGTGCTTTATTTATTTCAATTAATACAAGTCTGTGAAAGATAATTTTCTTCCTAAGAGTCCAGGGAAGCCTGTGGAAATGAAATGAGAGCAGATTCTTTGCCATGTGAAGGGCTGCAAAAGTACTGTTAAATTAAAATCTACACCTGTTTATAAGGCATATACATACACATAAAGAAGTTCTGTTATGGTTCTCATTGCCTGTATTTGGAAATTTGCATATAAGATATGCAAACTATATATGTTTTGAAGAACTAAGATGGGGGAGGAGGAGATGTCTTAATTAGTAGACTTGTCTAAAAATATGAAGTACACATTGATATTACTAATTTCTTGAAAGTGATTGTTTTTCAAAAGCTATATCTGCAAATTGGATTCCTTTTGCTACACTTGAAGCTCATATTGTTATCTCAGATTTAGAGCAGCAATGAAAACCTTATGCTTCCAGAACCGACTATTCTACTATACCTCATGTACTTACAAACTGTGAAAACGGTACATGCAAGTCATACAGCATTTTTCAATCCAGTTCTGTCATTTAGACCTTTCTATATTTAATGTTTGTATTTAAGCAAGCTTTGTTTTGCTGTTCTTAGAGTGTAGGGCTTGAATAAAAAATTTTGCTATGAATAGAAAATTCTCCTAAGTTTGAAGCTGGATTGTATTTTGAGTTGCCACTGGAAAAGGAGAAAACATAGGTATCACAGATTCATTTCACTGTAGCATGAATCTCCACCTTTATGGCTTCTGATGGAAACAGCTATAACTGTGCTTGGAACCAAAGGGTTGGAAACTTTGTAAATGAGTTACAGAAATGTGGCAGCTTTGACTAGGTAGAGAATTAGTTGGTGGTTTTGAGGTGGATAGATTTTGGACTGGGAAATCAGACATGTAGTTTTGGTACTGAAGATGTCTGCTCACTTAGGGACTGAAAGAAATCACCTGAACAGGAGACTGAGAAGAAATGTGTATCAAAATCCTTTGTCTTTGGTGTAGTGATAGTAAAACGTCTGGGCCGACAGAGACTCGCTGTAAAAATGTCACACGGCAATACAATTTGTCATTGATGTTTTCTTCAGAAATCTCAAAAAAGCCCTTAACCCACAAGCTAATCCAAAATAAAACCCTCAGTCAGCTAAACCATCACCTTGTTCCTTCCCTCGTGGCAACAAACCAGTTCACCATTCTGGCTTCCTTTGCTATTTTTAATTTGTAAGATATTGTTTAATAGTAATTCCATATATAATAATTCCAAATAATTAATAATTCCTAAATAATTCCAAATAATTCCAAAACTATCCCATAGGACAGAAAATGAAAAATACAGTTCCTAAATGTCTGGGAATTGTTCAACACATGAAATTACCTTCTCAGACTTTCATTAGGTGGATAGAACTATTAATGTGAAAAATAATGTGATGTACAAGTGACTACATATTTCTGACACTATTCAACACCAAATCTGAATTCAAGCATCTAAAGCATTTAGTCGTCTTTTAATATGTGTTGTTTCCTATGATGCCAAAAGAAAAGTATGATCTGTTACACTTACTTTTGGAACTGCACTGATAGTAAAGTAACAGACTTTGATTTCGCACATGTGTATGATTTGAAATTCATGTCTGTAAGCCAAGTAGATGCTGTTGCTTCTCTCTAGTCTTTGACTGTAGTGGTTCTGCAGAAGTAGTTCAGAGAATTCTCAGCTAATGTTTTGAGAGCATAGTTTGACTTGACTGCAGTTGATTGTGACCGAGAAGAACATCTTTGCAAATTCAGTAAAGGATCTGAAAAGGATCAAGTGATAACAGATTGTCATATTATGAGCAACACTACTCATTAAGCAAATACTTGCATTGAAATTCAAAAAACATGACTTTATTAGGTAGAATTTTCAAGGGTTTTATCTTATTCGTACAGAGTATGAGTACATTCTTGTCAAAATGGTTTTGTGATGGATGAACTTGTATATTTCTGTTTTAACTTCGCATGAAAGTCTTGTAAAGCAAAATTCAGGTGTAAATTCTCCCATTTTATAACTGCCTGGTGAAATATAATTGTCAGGCATGACTCGTCTTCTTACTCAGTGGTATCTCAAAGGGAGTTCCAGTGACTTGACATCAATATGTAACTTCCAGTTACATATTGATGAAGCTTTACAGGGTTTTTATTTTTTAAACTGAGCCCTGAAGTAAAGGAACTGTTTGGTATGTTTTATTAGCTTTTGTTTGTTTAGGTGAATATCTTGCTGTGCTTATTGTCTGGTCCTGCCATGACTTCTGCTGAGCTGATGTCAGCATGGCAGTCGGAATTCCGGTTGCAGCAGAGACTGTACACACAAATAACATGAAGTGACAACAGCTTTTAAAATGGACTGTGTGCTGAGGAAAATCCTGTGCCTGTCCCCAAATAATCAAGTAGCTGAAGTAGGAGAAATTACAGTCTTTCTGAAAGTAGTTGAAAAAGTTGAAGTAAGAAAGTTGGGTCTTGCTGTGGAATAGCCACTTGGCAGACATGCCAGCTGCATCTGCCTGTTTCAGACAGCAGTAATGCATTTCCTTCTTGCTGTATGACAAATATATCCTACTTTGTATGCCAGTGGAATAAAGAGCAAGAGGTCTTCACTGCTTCTTCATCCCAACATCCTTAAAGGATTTATAATGACCACACTTTCCTTCTTGGCAAGAGATGAGAAGACAGCATTTAAAGATGAGCTCAATGTTATTCCAAATGCTTCACTCAGCAAGCTAAAAATCATGTGTTGATAAAACTATCAGTAATTACCTCCTTTTCAGGCCTGTAATGCTTTGAAGGATTGCCTTGAAATTGCCCTCCCTCCCTCCCAGGAGCATTGACTGGGACATCAAAAATCTATGAGAGGATTTTTGCTGTCCTGTTGTCTGAGTCCCTTACATGAAATTACAAGTTGATTGTAACAGAAGAATCTCATATCGAGGACTTCAGGTAGTCTTGTCTATCCTGAACTTCATGGTGAAGACCAGTGAAAATTGCTACACCCCTTGGGTCGCTTGTGAGACGCAAAGACATGCATGGACATTGTGTTCAAATTAGGCTACACATTATAGCTGTACGTTTAGAATTGCATTTGTGTTTTAATATTCTGAGCTTGCCTGAATAGCAGGCTGAGCTTCATTGGTATTAATTTCTGTTCCTCATAAAGACCTTAAAGCTGTATAGTGCCTTGCTGTGTAATACTTTTTCTCTGACCTATTGACTTTTGGTAGTAGTCCTCTGAAAGGCTGTGGCATTCTTCTGCATCATATCCTGCAAGTCACTGGGAGGGTTGTTTTTAAGGAAAACAAAATGTTAATCAAATACAAACCATTGATTTGATTTTTTTTATTGCTGACATCTTTAAAACAGAGAAGAGAGATGAAGTGGTGTATTATGACACTTATGAAAGTATGGAAGCCATGCTTGAAAAAGAGGATATGGCAACATCTGTGCACTTGCAAAAAGAGGAGCTGCAAAAGTTACAACAAAAAATCCGCCAGCTGGAAGCAAGGCGTGGACGTATTTCAGCCAAGAAAGCCTACCTCAGAAATAAGAAGGTACTGTTTAATTGCCTTTTTTTTGGACATAATTGGCAAATTTAAGGAAGCTTCAAAAGGTTTCCTTCAGATACAAATTTCCCAGAATTTTTGAGGATTATGTTCCATTGTTTGCTAAAAGTTGTTTTGCAGAATACTAAATAAAATAGCATGTATTATTATATTGATACATTTAAGATTCTGTTTACCTTTTTCTAGCTCTATAGGAACCTTCAATTACTTTGAAGTCAACAAATTAACTTACTTCTATTAACTAATCAGAATACTTTCATGCAGGAAGTCCATGCTAGAATGAATGTTTTTATGGAGAGTAGTTTTGTATATGTTTGCTGAAGTGAACTTCCAAGTGTGTTTTTCACTAGTGAATTCTATTTTCATTCTCTTACCATCCTTTTAAACTTACGTCATGTGTTGTTGATACTCTGTGTTTGGCAGATCTATATGAAATACAGTCTATATTCTTAATTTGTATTCTGGGCATGCTATTTAGGTCAAAGTTTTGGGAGACCATTGTAATACTTGTTAGAAAATCAGTTCCACGCCATACTATGTAAAGGTACGCAGAAATGTCATATGAGGTCTCATTCTGGATTAGGATGAGTGGTCAGTTTGGTTCTGTGTTCGTGATCATGTCCTTTATGTGAAAATGACCCTTTCATATAAAGAGTTCTTGGTAGATTGGCAGTAAACTCTTCAGGTCTTGCCTCCACTTCATAATTAATATATCTATTTCTATACCTAAATCTGAAGCGTAACAGAGAAATGAAAACTTGTTGATACATTTTATGTATTTTATTTTTTGTATTTTGTCAAGCACTGCCTTGTTTCTGGTTAACCCAATATGGAAAAGACTGCAAACGAAGTATTAGAAGAGAGGTCTCCTGTTAGCTGATTATGTAAAGTAGCTTGCTTTGTCATTGTGTTTATTTTACATTAGTTTGTAAAGACAAAAGGTATCAGGAACGTTGTTAGTATTTTAAGTAAGAGAACTTACCTGTTGTATTACGCTAATTTACACAGGCTATAGTATAATAAGATATTTTCTCCTGGATATGAAAAGACTCTGCTGGCACCTTACAAAGTAGACAAACCTGTTTGAAAGTGACAGCCTGTTTGCTGTTCTTTGCTTAACTTACTGGAGTTCACAGGTCAAGAAGAAATCCTGAAGCAGGAGTCGAGATTTTTTAGCATGCCCATATATCTGTATAATGAAGTAGTCACCTTCAGTGGCTGATTTGTTTCAGTGTTACGCTGTGATAGAATACCTTGTTTAAGCTGAAGGAGTTGGTTTTGGCTGCAGCAGGAGTAGCAGCATGCCTGGTTGTGCACTGTAACAAGATGCAAAGCTGTGTGTGGTAGTGTTGCTTTTCTGCATCTGCATGCAGGAGTGGTATGGCTACTTCTTCTCAACATTGTGGTGGGATAGCTGTGGCTACAATGCTTTCTGGACCTGAGGTAATGTCTCCGTATGGAACTTGGACATCACATCGCTCTCAGAAATTGTTCCAGCTCTCTTACTTATGTCATTGCTCAGCACAGCATTCTCTGCAGTTGAGTGCTGCAGGGAGATACTTAGCTTCTAGAAAAATCACAGAGTAGAACATTGTGTGTTTAAGCTTACAGGAGAAAATAAATGGTCTTTATTTGAGCAAAAAGAAAGGGCAGAATCTGTTGTGTGACATTATGTGGCACTTGTTGAGTAGAAAAGAATATGGCCATTTTTTAGCTTCTCTTACTGCTGGATAACGCAGAGTACTACTAAGCTTTCTGGCAATTACCTGAAAATCAAAGCTCATAGATTTGTCTCATTTCTTTGAGCAATCTTCATATTTTTACTGGCCTTTCTAGCGATACTGTAAAACATTGTTCATGAATGCTATTTAAGGTGCCTGATGTGAGTACTTGTATTTGTGGGGAAAAAAAAATATTCTTGCTCTGAAGTGTTTGGAAGTCAAGTATGCAGAACTAAGATACAGATGGGATACAAAAGCAGACTGTAGATGGTGAGAATGAGGGCAGTGATGACAGAATGCTATGTAAAGAAAAGTGACTTTTTGGGGGATGAGTATGGAAAGTACATACTGTGTGGTAAATCTGTGTCTGTCTCAATTAAGAAACATTTATTGTTGAACTGAGATGAGAGTGTACTTAATGCTTTTCAGATTGTGTTCCTGGCTTCGCATGTTTCAGGCTTTTAAACTGGTGTTCTGTTTTGGATTGGGTTGGTGAGATTTTGGTGGTGGATTGGTGGTTTTTGTGGGTTTTTTGTTTTTTGGTGTTTGTTTGTTTGTTTGTTTGTTGTTTTTGTTTGGGTTTTTTTTGTTGTTTTGTTTGGTTTGGTTTTTTTTTGTTTTTGGTTTTTTTTAAGCATGTCAATTCTGCAGGTGGAAAGAAAAAGCAAGCTATGCATTAAGTGGTGTATAGGACAGTCTTGTGATATGTTTAGAAATTACAGTCCTTTCTCATTATCAAGATTTTGGCAACTGAAAATGCCTTTAGGAGAATATCTCCTTTCTAGCAGCAGATATCAGGATTAAGGAAACAATAGGAAGTTTTTCTCTGTCATCAGTTTTATTTTTTGGAAGAAGGTACTTTCATCATCCAGGTATTTGAAAATCTTTTCTATTGAGGAGATAACACAGTGAAAGGAAATAAATTACTCTTTATAGAGTAAGATGATTTGTAATTTAAATATAAATTTCAGTGGCTTCAGTCTATTTTGTTTTTCAGAAATTCCTTCCCTAATTTTGCAGATGATGCATCAGTTTTTCAGTGATGTTGCCAAATAATTGTACCAAATTTTTATTTAGAAACTTTTGTTGAAGGTTTGTTACAAACATAACTTAGTCATGACTCTAGAATAACTGAACTGGCATTTTAAAAATTTATGGTTTTACAGAGTTTGATATTTTTTCACTGTACTACCATGAGTATAAACTCTTCATTCTCTTTTTTTTAATACAAATCTATTTGCATTTGTTAAACAGTCATTTCCTGATGTTTGTGTTGATGACAGTGAGTTATTAAAAAAAAAATTTTTAATAGCAGTTCACCTTTTTTTTTCCTTACTTCTGGAGACCTAGCTGTAGGTTTTTTGTGCAGAAAGTTGCTATTCTTATGCCAGTCTACCCCCTGCTGGCTACACATTAGTATTAATTAGATTATATATGGAACAAGCAGCTGATTTATTAGAGGGCTGGATTTATAGCAAGGAGGCAAGTTAAAAAATGGTATAGAAGGTATCTCAAAAACTCTGAAAAAACAGAGTTGTGATGAAATCAAGTTCTTTTGCACCTGAAAAGAGTATTCCTTATCATAAGCAGACTGGGAGAAGCAACTGGTTGGTGAAGCTGTTTGGGATATGTTCATAATGTGTGCTTTCATCTAGGAAACTTCCTCACATGCTTTTATGTTCATTTAATAGGACACGTTTAGAATTTTGCAAGCCCACATTTTAAAGCATGACCCATGCCAGAGTAGGTCTTATGAAGATGCAGTGACAGCTGGCATAGGATTATTGGTATTCTGTTAATAACAACAGCAGCTTAAGAACATAACTACACTGAATGCTTGTAGTAAAATATGATTTCTGCACATGAAAAGCTAGCCTTTTAATTGGGATGTTTTTTAAGCTGAAAGCAAGACTCACTGGTACTAGTTAGATATATACTAATGCACATCTCTGTTACTTATATTACATCTTACTAGTCTTAAACACTGTAGTTCATGCAGTGACAAAGGTTGAAATGGTTCCTCAGCTCTTCCTTCTTGTCTCTTTAATAGAATTACAACTTGATACTGTGAAATCAGTCAGTTGATTAAAGAAAGAATGGTCATTACTTCTTGTTGCTTTCCTCATTCCATACAGTTGATCAACATATTTCTGGAGGTGTGGCTCTCACTGGACATAATTTCACAGGGAGGTGGTAAAATCATCCCTGAAGGTGTTTGAGAAGTGTCTCGATTTGGTGCTGGGTGATGGTTTAGTGATAACAGTGGCAGTGCTGAGTGGACAGTTGGACTGAATGATCTTAAAGGTCTTTTCCAAACTTGATGGTTCTGTGATGATCCCAGTGCTTAGAAGTAATGACTACCTTGCATGTGCAGTAGGCTGTTCATGCACCCAATTATTATGTATGGTTTTGGTGTTTTTTTGCCAGAGTTCATTGGTATATGTTGAACTTGTCACCTACTGTAATCATCCAGTTGGTTTTCTTAATGCTGCTATCTGGCTGTTTTTTATTTCATCCTTTATTTGAAGTCACTTAATCTTGTCTACAAGTAGAACCCTGCATTTGTCCCTCTGAAATCGCAACCTATCCTTTTCTTCTTAAACCATTTCTGTAATTAGTTAAGATGATTCAGATTTCTAATCCTGTCCTGCAACATGTTTTCAGCCCCTCCTAGTAGTTTTTATTATTTCATGTCAAAGAGATCTAATTACATTGAAGTAGGTTGTTTATTAAAACAAGCTCAGCACTAAGTATGTTTTGGTCAGGTTTGTCCTCTTTACATACTTAAAATATCTTTCATTATTGCATTTGATCAGAAATGTTTAAATACTGATGCTAAAGTGAAAACATCAGATAAAATTGTGCCCCCTGAGTATCTGAGACATATCAAAAACCCCAAACCATGCTTGACTTACATTTTCTCATTATTTTATAATATTTAAAACCTAAATAGAGAATAAACTGTAAACTAGTTAGGAGTATTACAGAAAGTTGTTCAGATTTTCTGTTAGTATTATGTAGCTTGCTGTGTCTTTGAAACATAGAGATGAAGTATTTTCTACTTTTTCAGCTGCAAATTAAATTGATTGACTGTTCCGGGATTAGCTCTTTTCACCAGGGAAAAAAGCCTCCAGAAAGAAAGACAAAACCCAGCAGTGTTTGGCTGTGTGCATGTGTGGACCTGTTACAGCAAGTCCAGAGTAGGTCCATGAAGATGATCGGAGGGTTGGAGCACCTCTCCTATAATGACAGGCTGGGGTTTTTCAGCCTGAAGAAGAGAAGGCTCTGAAGAGACCTCAGTACAGCCTTTCAGAACATAAAGGAAGCTTACAAAAAGGAGGAAGAGTGCCTTTTGATAGGGACAGTTATTTTACATGGACAAGGGGGGACAGTTTTAAACAAGGAGAGATTTAAATAGCTATTAGAAACTTCTGTACTCTGGGGGTGGTGAGCTGCTGACACAGGTTGCCCTGAGAAGTTGTGGATGCCCTGTTCCTGGAAATGGTCAAGGCCAGGTTGGATGGGGCCCTGAGTATCCTGGTTTAGTGGAAGTTCCCTGTCTGTGACAGAGGGATTGGCACTAGATGAGCTTCAAGACGTCTTCCCACCTAAACCATTCGGTGCTATACCTCTGATGAATGTGGGACAGTATTTGCACAGAAATCTGCTTTTGTCAGTTACCTGTATACAGCAGCAACATTGATGGTTTTACTGTCCTATACAGGAACACTTTTTTTATGTGATCAAAGCATGTCCATAGACAACTTGCAGAAGAACAGCTTTTTCTGCATTTTTAAGCATCTAAAATAGTGAGGTTTCTTTAATCCCTTCTCTCCTTATTTTTGTGCTTTACTCCATCAACTCCCTCAAGCAATGCTTTCAATGGCAAAGCTCTTTTCTGAATCTGCTTAGAAAGTCATACTGAATGATACTTGAGAACCCCATCAGCTCCATGCTCTATCTGGATTCACACTCCAAACCGCTAACATTGCACCTTCTTGCACAACTGTGAGATTTGTTTATGACTGTACATCTGACTTTGTTCTAGTTCTGTGTGGTGCTTGTACCAGGTCTAATTCCATTGCTCCTACTGTCCCATTTCCTGGCTCTCAGTATCGTCCAATGAAGTTGTCTATCTACTTGAAGTTTGACTGTTATCCTCCTCATCAGCTGTTGTAACATGACCTAGGGTTTTTTTGTTTGTTTGTTTTTAACCTGTTCTTATTTGCAGACAGTGTAACAAATACTTGTTTAGATGTTAGAGGTGTGAACTCAGTGTAATAAATGAACACCATGAATTGTAACAACTTTATTCCTGTCTGCGCTTGCAGATAGTACATGGAAAAGATGAACAGACATCTGTAAATGGGAAGCTGTCTATTTGCATAAACAGAAATATGTGGTACATTCAAGAGTTAGTTATTTTACTTGGGTACAAATATATGGGGTTAAACAAGGGCATTATGAAGTGTTGACAGATTGGTTATTTTTTGCTACTCTTATACTGGTCCTGTAGAACAGACTTTCCAAGCAGCTGTCACTTGGATCTACTCTTTTGATAGTTAAAACTAATAGATTTGGGGTTGTCTGGCTTAGGTTTTTTTTTCTTTTTCTAGTTACAGTTCATTGTAAGTTAAATGAGCCTGTATGAAATAGGCTCTGCAGTTTCTATTTTTCTACCTGCCATTTGCTAAATATGACATTATGTAAATTTGTATTTAAATTGCCTGCTTTATAGGTTGTTTTTTGTGTCCCTGCAGGAGATCTGTATTGCAAAGCATAATGAGAAGATCCAGCAACGTCACCAGAGTGCGGAGGGGTACAAAATGCACCATACTGTTCAGATGGTAAGTCTGAGTTTTCCACTGTTGAGCTTAGCCTGTCATTAATAGCTTGCATTCCTCATTATACATTAATTAGGGGAGCATTCAGAGTGATAGCTCTTTCAAAAGATGGTGTGTATCCCTGACCTTTGCACCATGGATTTCTGTGTCATATTATGCTGGCAAGGGGGAGTATATAGTTCTGTTAGGAAGACATGGGAACCAAGCAATGGAAACAGTTCTTTAGCTAGGTTGTTTTGTTATGTTTATCATCATGTGCACACAGATGATTCTGAACATCTCTGAGTACCATGTCTGGTATGCTGATAGGAGTAAGGAAATCACACATATTTATTCTTGAATCTTAATAAGCTTGTTTACTACTTTTCTTCCTTCTACTAAAGCTATTACTGGAATTATGTTGTATAAACTTGTAGTTCCAGATGGATGCTCCATGTTTTTTTCTTAGTCTCGTTGCAGAGAATAGACCAGCTGGTCTCTTATGCTGTACCTAATAGTCTTATCTTAAAGAATATTCAAATTTTGGACTAGGTCTTGGGAGCTGATGTAGTATCAATATTTGATAAAGATCGCTGACAAAGATGCATTGAAATCCAAGTCACTTTAATTCAGTCTTCAATTAGATTAGTGAAAGTGATTCTATTTCATCCTTATACATTTTTAACATTGATATTTTTGTCCAGGAAGTCAGCTGCATAATTTATTTTATGAAAAGGCTACTTGTCAAAGGCAGTATGTATTGGAATATTCTTTCAGGAATTTAATTTTTTTTCATAAGTTCTCACAATAAGGCAGAGGAAGTTACTGTGGGGACTGTAGACCATTTATCAGTCTTATAAATAAGACTTGACAAAGCCAAAGGATTTCATTATCACTCAAGTACTGCGGAGCTTTATATTAGGGAGTTGCCTGCTTGAATGATATAAAGAACCTTATGCTAATTTTTTTGTTTGTGTGGGTTTTTTCTGATAAAAATGTGACTGAAAAATTCTAGCATTATGGTAAAATAGGTTTTAAATTACTGGATTTCTTTAAGAATTTTGAAAAGATAACTCTTAGAAAACTTTGGAAAAAGAGAGTCCAAATTTGAAACTAAAGAAAAATTGCAATTTTCCTATTTTACTTAAAGCGAAACAAAACCAAATACACAAGTCGGCCAAAACAAAAAAAAACTCCTTGATTTTGAGACTGCTTCAGGGAAAGTTTGATCTGAGTGCATAGGTAATGCATGCAACATTCAGGTACAGTGATAGAACTACTTTTCTTCCTTTCTTTATATTTCTGTTCTAACTTCTTTGCCCATTGTTCTTATTTTCTTTTACCACATGCTTCTCCTCCTCTTCACCTTTTTCTGTTTTCTGTCCTTACTATTTTTCAGACATGTTCTCATCTTTCTCTCCCTAACGCATCTATACTTCCTTCCTTCCAAATCACAGGAGTTGGCTTTTTATGAAGGACACCAGGCCACTAGCTGACTTATGAAAATGGCAGGCAGACACTGCTTTTGTGGTGACTGAGTGAGAGTAAAAGATTCACAAAAGTGATCAGAATTTTTGATTATGAAGATACGCTTTCAAAAGTAATATTAAATGCTGTGAGTCATCTTAAGAATTAAAGCTGCTCAGGGTTTTTGCTTTGTGGTCAGCTGTTACATCACTTTTCCTCATAGCTTCTGAACTTGCATGCAGTGAATTTCACCTTCTGGTAATTAGCTTCCATTTCCAGTAAATTTCACTGAGGAGTGGGTATTTGTTTCAAAGGTGTAGTAACTCTTGCTGAAGTTTCTGTAAGAAAGATAGTTAAAGGAGATGTACCCAAAGGTGTGTTTTCCATGAGGTAAAATAGCTGTACAAAAAAAAAATGCAACTGTCCTAGGTGGGAGGAAGGCCTTTACTTAAGTGCAGTTATGTAAAATCAAGCTGGATGAAGTAACAAATCTGGAATAAACAAACAAATATTTACTGTTGTAAATGTAAGTGTGAAAGCATTTACTTAATTTGCTCGCTATTGGGTTCAAAACTTTGCGATGTTGAGTTCTGTAAATTCTTGTACTTTGAGAATACTAATATGTCTTGTTTAAATGGACAGCCTTGCAATTTGGACTGTCATTTTGTTATTGGAATGAGGGGTAAATGGATACTGCTTTGCCCTCTGGTTAATATATGTAATTTTACTTCAAGGGCGCCTCTCTAAGTATAGTATTCTGTCACTTGTTATTTCTCATCTCTCAAAGTAACAAGTCTGCCAAGTGTTCCTGTTCGAGATTGAAACATTTTTTACTGAGCTTTGCATTTCTTTGAGAAAACAAACCAGGAAATGTATACTATTTTTTAAGGGGAAGTCAAAGGCCAAATTTTGAGGTTATGTTTATTTGAGAAGTAACTCTTCTCATTTAGAAGAAGAGTTTTTTCTAGTGAAGCCAAATAGAACACTGGATGTAACATTTACATATTTTCCATATATTTTCTCAGAAACGAGATCAGTTGCAAGATGAAGAGGAAAGAAAGAGCTCCTGGGTTAGTCAGGAGCGACAGAAAACCCTAGACAGACTTCGTACATTTAAGCAGGTAACAGAAGAACAGTTGTTCTTTTCAGGCTGTTTTGTTTCCCAAGGAAATTCTCACTCATTCCAGTAATAGCATTCACTTTCCTATTAGTGATTCTCTTTCATTGTATCATTAAGTGGTCTTTGGAAACTTCACAACAGCTGTTGCATTCCCAGTGCCATAATAAGTTTCTGTTTACTCTGTTTACCTTGTTACAAGACACTTGGCACATATTCCTGAGAAGTATAATCTAAACAGTACTTCCCAACAAAGAGCATTGTCATCTGACATGGCCCCCTGCTGCTGATTGCTGGAATACCTGCCCCTTCTTATTAAAATGGAAGCATCTGACAGTGCATAGAAGGTGGAATGAAGGGGAAGGAATAAGGAAAGGGCTGAAAGTGAAAGAAAGCAGAGACTGTATTAATTGGTGAATTTTTGTTGTATACATTAAAAAAAACAAAGGTATGAGAAGTTTCTTTGTTGGAAAGTTTTCTTCTTCAGCAGTATATTCATGTCCTTATTGTTTGCAAGGTTCTTGAATTCTGTAACTTCTGTAAATTGAAGCAAATTTACTTATTTTAACCAGCAACTGTTTGTGAGGTGACTTTTTCTATTAACGTACTAATATTGTTACATGTTATTGCTTTAGGCCTTCCACAGTTGTGCAAAAAATTAGACCTGTCTTTCAGAAGCAGCTTAATTTTTTGCTTTAAAAAGGCTGTGGCTGAAACTAATATGAAAAGACTGATAATGAGGCAGCAAATTTAAGGAGTAAATTAAGGCTGAAAGTCTTCGATGTTCTCAAGATGTACCTTTTAAAACTGTTTGATTCACATATAAGGCCAGTGTATGAAGTCAGGACTGGTCTGTACTTGCAGAGGGAGCCACTGACCAGATTTAGAAGAGGAAAGCAAGAGGGAATTTCGAATTTTTGTTTCCAGTAAAAAACCACTTTTGAATGTGTCATCTGATTCATAGCAAAATCATAATTCTAACCTATGTATTTCACTGATTTAACTAATCAAATTGTGGCTTAAATAAAAATAAAAAATATGAATAATTTTTTGCATAGAGCTGGGAATGTATTTGCTTTGTTTTTACATACAGAGCGAAATGAAAATTGTTTGTCAGAAATGACAAGTACGTAAAATCTAAAATAGTCCATTGCATGTGCTTACGTAATTGTCAATACCTTATTCACTTTAGCGGTATCCTGGGCAAGTAATACTTAAATCAACCAGACTACGGCTGGCCCATGCAAGAAGAAAATGTGCAGCCAGCTCAGTGCCCTGTGTCGAGCAGCCTCAGTCTTTGCCAGCAACCATACAAATCCCAGACAAGAGTGAGGAGGTGGAATTGGAAAAAGCAGTTCAGCCTTTGCAAGTGCAGGAATCCACAAGCCTAAAAAAACTTCAAGAAGTCTCTTTGCCTCCTAATGGTGTTACCTCTGAACTGCCCCATGTTAGCACTTCTCCACTCACCAGTGACCAGCTTCAACCAGAGACTGCTACTGGAGTGCAGCTTCCACCCCCTTTGCCTCCGCCACCTCCACCTCCACCTTTGCCCTCCAAGGAAGATGCCACCAAATCCTTAGAGCAAAGTGACAGCTTTGTTAAACGTCAGAGTGTGGAGAAGGGAGTCCAGCACTCTTCTGGTGTCCCGCCAGCACACCTGTTCGATAGCAGTCAGCTAGTCAGTGCCAAGAAGAAGCTTAAGAAAACTGGTGATCTAGAGGGTTTACAGAGGAGGAGAGGTAGTGTTTTAATTTCTGCATATTTAATTTAAAATTTGTTGTTATTAATTTAAAAATTGCAGTGCATATCTGTTCGTCTTTTGAATTGCTCTGTAGGAAAGTTTATACTGTGATTAATTTATTATTAATGGGAAAGCTGTTAAATCCTTTCTAGCTGAGAAATGCTAGCAATTTGAACACCAGAGCTTTAACAACAGCATGGCATACTTGTTCAATGGAAAAACACTTGTGAAATTTAGTCTACATTATCCCATGTTAGACTAGACAGAAAATGGACCTAAATGCTGTTGAAAAGAATATTTATATATTTACTTTCTGCCAGCCCTGTAAATATTCTATGGTTCACCTGAGGATGCAGTGTTCTATTTAATAACAGAATAACAGTATTTTTTATGTAGTACTATTGTTTATTTTACTGACTTATATTTTATCTTGCAATTTTTTATAAAGCACCTATTGTGTGTGCAATTTTAAATACATCGTAATATGACAAATATAAGTTCAAGTCAATTATCCCTCTTAAGAATACTCTTAATGTCTGCAGCAGCACTCTACCTGCTGCTCCATATCCCCTGAGATGTTTCAAGTTTCTAAGTGGCTTCAGAAATTGTCTCGTGTGTGACAGACAGGGACATTACAGTCCATCCTTCCTCCTTCAAATGTGCAATACTGTATTCTTTTATATTTCTCTCTTCATTGTGTCTTTTCTGTCTAGGCCTTTAGTGGGATGGACAAAGATTATTCCTAAATGCAAAACAGGTTTTAAAAAACATATTGTACAATGTACAGAAAAGAACCTGGAGATAGATACATATTGATAGAGAGGTGCTGCACAAATTACATGCTATTGTATGCGAGGTCTTTAAACTTTATTATACTTTATTATAATGCATTCTCTGGGCTGAAGATCTTTCCCGCTCATGGCTCTTAAAAGAGCAAAAGCCTGATTTTTGCAGAAAACTCATTTCAAAATTAGTGATAAAGGAAGGATTTGCCATAAAGAACTATCTCTGACTTCTTTGTTTTCATTAATGGTAAAGTAAGACAATTTTTATAACTGTGCTGGGACTAGATGCTAACAAATACCCAGAGAAGCAGGAAAATGCATGCTCTTGCAATTGACTGTATTGCTGCTTCCCTTACTGGGAAATAGTCATGTAGTAGGTAAAATTAGCCTAAAAATGCAAGTGGTAAGAATGGATCATGCATGCCAGTATGTAAGACATGTACTCATTACCTGAGTTCTAAAGTAAAAAAAGATGATGCAGTAAACACTTTCATTATGCTGAAATCCTTGCAGTTTATATGACTTTCCTGACTGCAGACATAAAAGCCACATTGTTCAGAACGTTTTACTTCCTGATAGGGAGTTAAGTAGTTACAAAAGTTCTAATTGTCTGTATAAACCAGCTTGGACCCGATAATAAGGAAGATTATTTAGAAGCTAAAACAATATTGGAGCTACCATTATATTTGTAGTATGGGACTATCATATTAATAGTATGCAGGCACTTTTTGTTCTGTAGAAAATAAAAACTAAAACTGATAAAATTTTGTGAAAATAATACTGAAGGTCTTTTGATTTGCTGCAGTGAGTTCCCCGATGGATGAAGTGCTGGCTTCCTTGAAACGTGGCAGCTTTCACTTAAGAAAAGTTGAGCAGAGAAGTCTCCCTCCTTTTCCTGATGAAGATGATAGCAATAACATCTTGGCGCAGATCAGGAAAGGGGTGAAACTGAAGAAAGTACAGAAAGATGTTTTGAGAGAATCCTTTACAATTCTGCCTGATACTGACCCTCTGACAAGGAGCATCCATGAAGCATTGCGAAGGATTAAGGAAGCATCACCTGAGTCAGAGGATGAAGAGGAGAGTTTGCCTTGCACAGACTGGGAAAACTAACCTGTAATTAAGCTACATTTAAAGATAATATTTCTGCAGCAGTTTTTTTATAACAGTAGCAGTTAAGCCTCAGGTTGTGCATTCTAGGAGACTTAGTAGGAATGTGACTAAACTGTCTGACATCCAGTGTGATAAAAAATGCACATACGAATTGAGTATCACTGACTTTTCAAAGAATTTTAGGTTTATAATAAGGAAAAACCTCTTTTTAGACAATATGTTAGCCTTTTACTCTTCCACGTGAATATTGACACGATGACTTAAGAAAAAAGCTCTATTTTATTTAGTAAATTGGAAGGGACAGTTCCCAGTTTACCTAAAAAGTTTAAAAAGCAGCATAATCACTCTAGGACACACCTTGTACTTACTTTCTAATTATTTCTAGCCTTGTAAAAATTGGATATGTCTTATTTCAGACTGAGTAACTTCTAAGTGAAGGACAGTTAGGTTTGAATGCTGAACACATTGAAATCTCATGGGTTATCCTGAGTGGCTGACTTCTTGATGGCTTGGTTTCAGTCTCTAAAATCTGACTTAAGTGAATTTCCAGGCTATAAACAGTAAATATACAATTTATGCTTCTGCTAGTCATATGAATTCCATGAACTTGCATTAATATTAAGCTACAGTGCCTGAAAGTACAGATATTAGACTTCAGCAGGTGAAATTAATGATTTCAGAACAAACCAAAAATTGGCAAGAGATCAGTTTTCAAAATAATTGCTGCATCAGTAGCACAAAGATATTTGTGACTGCAGCAGCAGCTTAGGACACTTCTCTGTGGTGGGTCTCTCATTTTACTTACATGTGAATGAACTTGAGTATCAATGAAGGTTCCCACTAAACCAAAAATCTGAGAAACCAGAGGTATGACAATCTGTAAAGAAATTAAAAATCTGTTTAGAAAGGCTATTTAACCAGAATGGAAGACAAATATTTGTAATCCTTGCAAAACAGTTAGCAGTAGAAAGAAGATAACATTTTTGAATGTTTACACTCCAGCATTTCTACCGTGGTTAGTTGTTACCATAGCTGGAGAGTGACTGTTGGTAAAGTGCTACAGCTGTTTAAAACTGATTCTGACTTGGCACATCATCTGCTGCATGTTCTTATGATTATGAAATACTGTCTCAATCTGTTGCATTGATATGGTATTTTCAAATTATAATATTTTAATTTTTTTAAAAGGAAAATAAATGCTGCGTTCAATTCCTCATGAACTAGCCATTGGCCACCCTAATGATATCACAGTGTTTAATTATGGCTTGCTCCTTCTATTCCATACCAATGTACTGCTAGTTTTGGAGTTGAGACTCCAGGAGTGGAGATGTGCTTAACTCTTGCTGAAACTCCAAGTGAAAACAATTTTGCTTTCATGTAAATTCTTTCTATTCTTGCATATTGAAAACTCCCACTACCACAGCTCTTCAGAAGTCAAGTGACAGCTGTAAGAAAAGACATGTCTTGGAACTAACTTGGCTTTCTTAGTGCAGTTGCAATTAGATTGCAATCTAATTTCCTAGATAACAGATCAAATTTAAACTTTGTGATTTGACTTTGATTTTAGTAAATCTATCTGACTGTTTAGAATTTTGTTTGCATTTTTTTGGCAAGATCCAAAGAAATTTTCCAAAACTGACTTAATTGTTTTAAAATCAAATTGGTTGACTCCTAAGCATTTTACGTTGGAAGTGCATCTTAGAAGTAGTCTGTGGTCATTGTCACACAACGTAAATATAGGTTGTTTCTGGTATTTGCAGCTCTATAAAAGGAGTTCAGAATGCAGGCTGAAAATCACTGCTGCATGGTCCCTGGTTGTTGTCTGCTTTTTACCAGTCTACATCCTGCTGAAGTCCTGTGAAGTCATTTGGACCTAAAAGCAGGATTCAGTGTCAGTTCAGTGTCAGGAGTATGTGCTCCTTGTTCTTTACATATCTGGGACTTGCTTTCTCTTACCAATGTCATATATTATTACAAAAGCAACCCTGTTAGGGGTTGTTTTAGGCAAGATTATTTAACACATAATAGTTTAGATTGAAAAATGGTTGTAAAGAATAGCTCAGAAAATAGCTCAGAAATAGCTGTATTAACAGCTCAGAAAAAACATGGAAGGCCCTTGGTATCCAAGCACATGAAATAATTTGGGAGAACAGAGATTGAGACAAAGCCCTTGAAAAATTCAACTGCAAAAATACTTTTCCATGTAGATGAGCATACTTGCTTGAAGATACAGACTTGTTTACTAGCATTCATCATACAAGACAGAAGTAATGAAAATCTGTTGTAGAAATAGCAGGCTAGTATTTTTTACTGTAAGGTTATCTACTTAATATCATGGTTTAAGATTGACCTACTGGTTTTTAACTTATAAGCACTACATGTGCCAAAACAGTAGCATAGAGATTTTAGGTTGAAAACGTGTTTACGGAAGTGTGTTTGCACATATTTTATATGAATTATGCTTAATTATATGTATGTCTGTGTAGGCTAAGCGTAATGCAGATTTTTGCCTTACAAAATGGAGGCTAAATCTGATACAGTGATACATATTTACTAAGTACCAGAAAGTTCCTTGATATATGCGAAGGGAGTATTAGCAGTGCTCAGTGAAGTGGTTTCATTAATTATTGAAGTTTGAAGACAAAACTAATAGTAACTAATTCTTGCAGGAGATCTAGTGATTTCCCATATTGCCTGTTCTGTGAGTTAACAGAACTTTCTACATAAAGTAACATCTTTTTAAGAGCAGTTCTTTCCAGACAGACCCTGAAACATGTAAAAAGATACTGAGGCATTCTGTGTATTGAAGTAGCTGCGCAAGCAGTATAAATATCTAGTAGCTTCTGTATGAAAAATCTGATTGATTACTGATTATCAAAAGTATCCTGAGTATATCTGCGTATGAGTACATAATAGTGCACCATAGTACACTAAGAGTACTATAAGTAATGCAGAACCTGAGTTCCTGAGTGCCCTGTGGTGGACAAAGTAACAGCCAAGAAGGGAGCTTTTGTTCTCTGTAGTCTCCTAATCCAGTATTTTAGGCCTCTTCAAACTCTAATCTGTGTTAACTGCCAATAATACCAGAAGGCAAAAAAAAAAAGACCTGGTCATATGTGACCTGGCTCCAGAGTCACTGTGTCATTATCCTGGGAGCAAAGAGAACCTTTGCTCAGTACACACTACTCAGTATATTGCATGTTACCTAATATGTTGAGAATATCAGAGAATATTTGTACTGCCGTTTAGCTTTTCAGATGTTCCTTTTTCTTTCTTCCCAAACAGGTGCTTGACAGCCACCAACGTGCAAAAAGAAACCCCAGTTGAAGATTACTTTTCATCTGCATTTCTGAGAATTCAGAGCCAGCAGTTATGACCATCAGTTCCACAGGAGGCTTTCTTTGGCAAAGAAATAGTCTTTCTTTGGCAAATAACTCAGTACGTGGAAAAAAATGGCCTGAAATGTTAATTTCAAGTCACTTTTTTCTTTATTTGTTCAGACAAATTCTGGTTTGGGCACAAAGCTAAGTTGTTAAGGACATGCATTTTATACTATCAAGAATGCCCAATTCTTAAGCACTTTTTATATTTGCGTTAGTAATGTACGGCCAGTTAAGTGAGGGGGCCATTTTGAGTTGGGAGACCATTTGCTGTTAGAGTAACTTTGGGGTTCCAAACCAGCTGTAAAATGGCCCCTTCACTGCACTGAATATCTCATGTGCTTGAAAATTCAACTAAATGACTCCCTGTAGAGAAGCTTGCTGTGTAGCAGTCTGATATTCCAGAAAGAGAATTCCTAGTTGCACTACAGTAGCTGAAATTCAGTAACATGCAACTAAGACTTTTTTTCTTCTTAGCTTGAAGAAGCATATATCAGTATGAAAAGCAACAAGTGACCACAGCACAATGAAAATTAGGAGTTGAATTCAGTACATATTCAAAAATATGTTTGTTTCCATCATGATATATTTAGCAAGACATACTGCAGCACCTTTTTAGAAGGTCATGTTTAGTCTGACATCTTTTTAAAAGTAGACATTTTCATGCTTTTTAAAAATATTTCGCTATGCTGAACCAAGTTAGTTATACTTTTATCATTTGTTATAAGAAGCAATATTTTGTAATTTCATACTTAAAAATATTTTTCTCTTTTGGTTTAAAATGGCTTTTGATTAGTCTAAGCAGCCTTCTTTAAAAAAGATCAAAGCACTTAAGCATTCTGATAGTTGAGTTGTGAAAATCATGCTATTCTTGCTGGTTTTCATTATTCCCTTTAGTGGCTGCGAAAATGTTTGTATTTCATACCCAAAAGCCTACTGGCTGAAAGAAATTTCTTTTGATTCTGACTGTTTTATTTTTAAAGGAGAGTTACAACTTCCTCTGCAGTGAATACTTAGGAATAGTCCTAAACCTCATGACTAATGGCTGCAGGCAGCTACTCTTAGGATACCACAGTACCAAGAGGTATGTCATACAGAGATACAAGTAGCCTTGTACCACCTAAAAACCTCATGTGGTATTAAAAATCAGCCCGTTACACTTCTAGGAAAGCTGAATTTCCACTAGCATTTTGTTTTTACTAGTGTAACATACACTGTGTTTGAGAAATACACAGTCCCTGTCCTTTGTGTTGTGTGGTCCATTCACTGTTCCTCTTTTGACAGATAAACTACTTTATGGGGATCTGGGTTCTTTTAAGTGGAGTTACTCATTGCTGCTGTCGTGTAATGGAACACGTACTGTGTTAACATTTTTAACAGGGGATTTCACGTCTTGCCGTTTACTTACAGAGAGAGGAGCAGGAGACCTTACCTTAGCAATAGGCTGTGTAATCTAAAGGAACCTCAGTTCTGGGACCCTTCAGTCTATTGAAGATGTTTTGCTGTGGCTGTCCAAAAATTAAAGCTCTGTCAAACATCTCGAAAGGATTTTCTTAACCATGTTGCCTTACTTATAAAGTTAGTGAACATTGATTTTCAAAGCACCTGTGAGCAGCGTTACTGTAGAATTGTATAGATTTTGCTGTGTTAGTTGCTAGGTCTCTATTTTTCAGCTGTGTGAAACACCTGATACTGGCTTTCCACAGGCCTAAAACTACATGATGCTTTTTTTCTTAAACTTATTCTCCAAATTCTGTGTTACATGGTATGGTTGCAAGCTGTCTGATGCTGTATTCATGCAGCAATAACAGCACTTTAAAGGTTCATAATCATGCGACACTGCCTATACCATCAGCTATTTTGTTCTAATTTGTTTGTATTTTCAGTTACACCACACATTAAATCCAAGGTTATCAAATAACTTTTTGGCTGTAGCACAAAACAGAACTTTTATGTAGAATGATAATACACATTATATATTTCATCTGAAACTTAGTGCTAAATTAAACAAGCAACTTTTATGTTCATTTTTTTCCTATTTTCCAGCCTGCGGTTTCTTTCCTTGGAATATGCATAGAGAACACTAGCAAAATTTCAAGCCGAGGAAAAATAGTGTGATTTTAAAGTATTTGTACAGTGGTTCCCTTGCACAACACGTTTGTCTGCAGTTTACCACTGTCTTGTAATCTAAATAGCTCCATGCTGTACTCTACTACAGTTTTCAGATATGTTTGCCATGTGGTCTGTCATCTTTGCCTTGAAAAATGTGTGCATGATTGATGAAATTACTCTTCTTAATCTGTTTCATATTTAGCTGAAATCTTAGATTTCTGTAGAAGCTTAGTCTCAATAGAAATGGAGTTCTCATATGAGCATGTATTTTATGGGCACACAAAAAGTAGTTGTTATGCTGAGCATAGCAGTATGTATCAGTTCAAAACTGCCATCTGTGTGGAAAATGAATGGGTTTTTCCCTACATCCTGCTCAAAAAAAAAAAACCAAAAAAAACTGATTTAAATCTTCATAAGTCACTAGATGTCACAATTTCACATAATTTTCACTTTGATAAAAAAGTTGTGAATATGTAGTGTACACAGGCTAATTCATAAAAGGTACCATCCTCTGCCATGTGAAATTTTCCAGTGGGATGGCTACTGCAGAAGAAGGGGAAAGTTTAGTGCATTTACAAGAAACTTAGGGAAATTATGACAGTCCTGTGTTGAGGTCAGTTCCTCCACAGCTGAGAAAAGCTGTAATAATTTTGTTGGTCTGCAAGAAGTCTTGGCAAGCATCACTGAGGAAAAACACGTAAACATGCGCAAGGAAAAAGAGCCTCCATAAAAAGACCTGCCTATTGATATTTTTCATTTTATTGTTGTGGCTGCATTGTTCTGTTGCTAGTTATTTATCTTAAGTAGTTTGTCAGCTCTTGGGCTTTTTCTATCTTTAGAAACTTCTTTCTTTTTTCAAATTAGAAGTTTTACTATGGTATTACTGACCCAGTGAAGTAAAGATTTGGGATGCATAATTGTTCATTGTACAAATGCTTATGTAAGGACTGAAAAACCTTTTATGAGTGGGAACAAGAAACTAAATACTCCATTTCTGCTAAAATAACCAAAATGTAAGGTAAACAGCAATAGTCTTGTTCAGAAATTGAATTTGTATCAACAAGGATTTCATGTTCTCATTCATGGAGGTTCCAGATCTTTTACAAATGACCAATAGTCTTACTCACTTTACTGTATTTTCATGTTAGTTATCTGTCTAGGTTAGATGAAGGCTTTTTTTTTTTTATTCTTTGAACATCACTTCTAAGTTTTGCCTGGTTTTGTTTGTTGGGTTTTTTTTTTAATGTGACAGTCTGCATTCTACACCAGACACTTGTAAAATAAATTAGTATGATTATATATTGTGTACTTTTGTGACTGAATTGGGGATAGAACTCAACATACTTCACTACATTATTTGTAAAGAATCATTTTGAGTATAAGCACTATATTCTGTACTGTTTAGTAATAAAGTAATGATAGATGCATTATTGAAGATGCAACTTATTGAGAAGAGGAGGCAGAAACATTATTGTTTTAATGTTACCCTTATTCCGTTTGTTGCACTGAATTTCAGGAGTATAATTTGTAAATCAAGTTTGCTCATGCGTGTAATCAAATTTTATTTTCATTGTAATGCTTATGTGATTAAATTACCTGGATGTATTTCTGGTAATGATTTCATAAGCATGAACAATATGTTGTTGATGTTTCGCATTACAGCATTAATGTTAAGAACAAGCAAAGCTTCTTGCAAAGAAAAGGAGTAACAGAAGCACCTTACTGGGAGAGCATGTTGCATGATTTCAGTCCTCTTGGAGTTGACAGACAGTAGGTCATCCTAAACTTGACTGCAAATTGCTCTTTGGTGTAATAAGCACATCAACATACTGCTATCAATGCTATCAACACAATGGCTGTTTTTAACCTAATAAGTATACTGTAATTTAAGTTTTCCTACAAAGTGAATTTATATTTAATTGCTGCCTAATACATAAATACTTAGAATTTCTAGGAGGGTTAAGGGAGGGTGGTGGGCATGCCAGTATATTTGTGGGAGGGGCTGTTGCATATATGGGTCTTTGTACTTCCCATTCAGTTTGACTGTTAATCCAAAACTCACAGCTCTGGCTTTGGTGAATCTGCAACCTGACATTTATGTATTTTTATTGTGATTCAGGTCTTCTATATTCTGTGGCTCAGAGCTTCAGAATTTGACAGAAAAGGTCATCTTTCCATTCTCAAATGTGAATGCTCTGTACCTCTAACATGGAAAATGACGAAGCAATGAATTTTATTCTCCTGAGTTTTTAATATTAATGTGTAGAGCATTATCTAAAGCTTGTTAACTAGTAGTGTGTCCATTGAAAACAAGCAGAAAGGATGAATACCATTTTGGTGCATATAGTCCATACTCTGCAGAGACTTTATTCCAGAGACTGTCACCTATCCAGGAATTAATTTGCCATAAACTGGCTTGATTTTCAGAGTATAAACATAGTTTTGACTTCTGAATTGGTAAATAGGTGTTGGGCATTGGGGATATTCACTTAACATCTTCCAGCGTGTTGTTGCTGTTGCTGTATGTTTCAAACTTCATTTTTAAGTGTATACAAACACGTCATCATGGAAGAAAATATAAAGAAATACAGATGGCTGCAAGTTGTCTTACATGAATGAAGCCAGTGAAGCTTAATGAAACTAACTTCTTTGTTAAGCTTGTAGAATAAATAAGAAATAATGAAAACAAATTTTCCATTCACTAGCTTTGTGCAATATTATCATTAGACTAAGACACTACTAGCACATTGTGCTTGGCTTTAAGAAAGTTCTTTAATTCCATTATATTCAAAAGGACATATTAAATGCATATTTTATTGTAAACAACTCTGCAAATTTACTATGCCTGAAAATGCTCAAAGTTATTAAGTATTAAGCACAAGTATGTTTAAAAAAAAAAGTTTAATAACTAAACAAAGATTTCTAGCAATACCTAGAAACTAAAAAAAGTTCTAATTGTCTGCTTCTTGGTCTTTTTTCTTTAGTGCAGCTTTTCTGCAGTGCAAGTTTATTGCTGTGTATTTCATAGGGTTTTATTATCATGATTCAGAAATATAAACCTGTACGCAAAGTACTGCATTCACCTTATTGTACATGCGATGTAACATCATACTCACAGTTTTGGTGCTTTAAAATTATTCCTCTTTTCTTTATTAAAGGATATTTATTTGATCACTGTCTTGGTTTTAACTTTATGTACTAGCATTAAAAAAATACTTTTGGTGCAGTTTGGTTCCCACAAAAAGACATTTCAGATCTAATTCATTTCAGCTCCCATTGGAATTCTTACGGCTCCTCAATGGAGTTGTAAGAATAATGAGTTTCCCTGTCATGGTTTAATGGTAAGTGGTTGCATCTAAGCTATGTTGCAGCATGGAATATTGGTATTTAGGTAACATCTTTGTAAATGAAGCCACATTAACAATTAAAGTATTACAGAAGAACTTTGCTTCTAAATGATGCTGGGTAGTTGTGTGTAGCTACAAATCACACCCACTTTCCATCTCTTGATGAAAAGACAGAAACACTCTGTGAAAAAGGGTGAAAGTTTAACTACAGAAATGTTAAGAGCTTAGCACCCTTATTACACCTGCCATGTCCCTAACTGGAATTCCTAGGGTCTGTAAGTTCTTCCTTTTATTGCTCTAGCCATTTTGTGTTATTATTTATGTAGACCAAATCTTGCAAAAGACGTATCTTTATATTGTATCTCTTTTCCCTTTTGTTTCTATATTTTTGGTGTAGTGCAGGTAGGTTCTGTTTCTAGCTGGTTCCTTAACATGAGGAAACAAAAAACCAGTGTGTTTCTGGAACAGGAACTTTTTAGTGCCATCACGAGAAAACAAGAAAACATTTCAAAGGGCAACATGAAACCAACTTTGTATTTGCAGTGCAAATTTGCGCTGCAACATGTCTTGTACAAAATTCAAAGCTGTCTGAATTTGGTTTCCTAGTGGTGTGTTCCATGCCAGGTAATAATGACTCTTAATTTTGGGTTATGGCAGAACATGTTGAACAAGTAGGAAATGTGTTGTGAAAGAATCAGTTCTTTGATTGTTGCTGACTTGAGAGAAGAGAGTTACATTTGTGTCTGAGGTCTGTTCCTAAAGTTCTGGCAGTGTGTGACCTTTATAACTCTCTACAGGATCCATGCAGGTTGGAAGTGTGTATGCAGTTGGAATTTAGTGTATGCATCAGGATTGCATATGAATGATATCTGTAGGCAGACTTAAAAGGCAGTGGTATGCCATGCAACATAAGGCTTCTTGTTTGTACAACATAGAAGATGAAAGAACGGTCTTTTTTTTCCCCCTGGCTTGTTACATGTCAGATGTAAATCAAAGGTACGTTGTAAATAAATACTCAGTGGGCCACAGTGCCTCTGAAATTATACATGGAGGGTCTGTCTCTGTTCCACCTCGTAAT